AGGATATTCATTATAATAAATATTTGTATTAAATATTCTGCTAATTGTTAGATGAGAAGATTGATACAGCTGAATATATTTGAAGCAACAGCTACCCGTTAGTTTAGCTTAGCATAAAGACTGTGAACGGGGGAAATAACTAGCTTTGCTCTGTCTTACATTCTTTCTCATAAGGTAATGTAATTTAAAAGCAATCTTAAATAGTTAAAGAAAATAGTAATGCTTTGCTCTATTGCAAGACTATGCTACCTTTGAAAGCAGAAATTAAACATACTCTTGGAAATAAAAAGTTGAATTCATAAGAAACTAAAAGTCCACCAATGTTAGCAAAGTAAAGTAATGTGTGTATCCGCCTTGTGAGTCAGATCCTGTGCAACATTTTAAGTGTTCGTCCTTGGCACATTCAACACACTTCAAAAATTGGGGCCAGCATTATTTTAAATCCTGAAAACAGAAAAACAAACAAATCGAATCAAACCGAAAACAATTTGGCAGCAAAAACACTTTCTCAGTTCAATACACTCAGGGTTTCTTTTCAGGATTACTTGGTCTGGTATGACTATGGGGGCTAACAAAGCAACTTTAATATGAACCCCTTCAAAGACAAAAAAAATCTCATAAAACAAAAAAACTGTTTTTAAAAAAGTAATAATTAAAACATACCATGGCTCAATTCAAACCAGAACTCACTCATGGTCTGGTGTCTTGATGTAGCTTTGGCTCACTGTGGCTGCAGAAGGGAGGAACAGGAAAATGGTGCATGCTCCAAAGTGTTACGCAATATCAAGCGTAATATCAAGCATTGGCTAACAACAGTCAAACAGATCAAGAATGGTGTATTCTATTGAATATATGGAAATAAATAAGGGTGTGTTTTATGTCATAAGAACTCAAAATGCCATTTGTGGCAGGAAGATAAGAAAAAGTACAATGTTCAAACATGGACATTTAAAAGCAAAAGTAGAAGTGTACCTACAAAAGAGAAAACAAGATGCTCAGTTACAGTATTCAGAGTAAATGCCGACCTTCACTCATCACCCCATCTTTGTGATTATTCTTGTGAAATGTCAACAGCCCTGCTGCTCGCCCAGGCTCAGTACCAGGAACCCTTTCCTTTTCTGGGTGAGTTCATTAAGAGAATCTCAGCTCTGCACATCTGTTCTCCATCTCTGTATGTCCTCTGATGTGTCCACCTAGCCTCAAGGATCTCTCTCCTCATCACTTTGTTATTTACCTCCCACACAGCAACTGTGCTCACAGTGTAAATAGCACTTTTGTAAACACGTTATTATTTTCAAACATCTTGCATATGAAGTCATTACACCCTTGCACATGGCTTGTTTTGTTCAGTGTTGGCGTGCAGGTGATTTATTTGTTATGGGGCAATGCTTTTTGTTGTGAAGTACTGCCTGTAATTAGTTCCACAATGTTGATGCCATTAAACAATTTTCTCTTCTTCTTCTTCTTGTTCCATGGCTTCACAGAGGACTATGGGCCGGATTATTTCCCAGGTAAAGCATTATTATGTTCTTAAGAATGTTCCTTGATGCTAGTAGCTAAACATGGGTGTTTTTAAAAAATGAAACATTCCTCTTTCTCTTGTTCAGACCCTGAAAATCCTGACTCTCCTCCTGGAACCTACCAGCAGCAGGTTCGCCTCCAGCCAGTGGTTCATCCAGGTATTATATCTGCTTGACCCTCCTCTTGTCAGGATCAGGATATATCATGCGTTTGTATTGTTTTTTGAACTCATTTGCAAATCTCTTTTCCATGTGAACATCAGACTCCGATCTGGAGACAGAGCCCACAGAGCCTGGCCCACTTGGTAAGAAAACTTGAGAAAGGATGAGCGATAAATCAATTGTTTAGTTTAAATCACATAATGATGATTTTGCTGGTTTGATTTCCAGACTGCAGAGAGGAGCAGTATCCCTGCACCAGACTCTACTCTGTTCACAAGCCATGCAAGCAGTGCCTGAACAGCCTCTGCTTCTACAGGTAAGCACTTAAATCCAAACTATTGAATCTACTTCTACGAAATCTCCAAAAATCACAAATTCATTCAAATACCGAAAACAATCTTTTCAAAACAGCTTCAAACAGAGAGCTCAAAAGTCACTGTTTACCTTTTTGATTGGTGCACTTTGATCTATTTGGTAATTTTGCCAATATGGTGTATGTGAGATTGCTGGAAAAACAGCATGGTTTAGATAGGATATGGATAATACCTGATCAAGTTCTTGTTGCTTTTATATTTCCAGTGTAATAGTTGACCTCTGCTTTTGTTTCCATTAAGCTTGCGACGGGTGTACGTCATCAACAAAGAGGTTTGCGTGAGGACTGTGTGTGCACATGAAGAGCTACTCAGAGGTGCGTTCAGAGTTATGCTTTCTTTGTGTTTGACACTTGTAATTGTAGAATCTGATTTATTTACTGTAGACCAAATCTTGGTATGAAGTATAAACAAACACGGAACAAAACAGCAGTACAAAGCTAAACAAGCAGAACAGACATTTAGCACAGCCTCCCTCTATCATCCTGGGTTTATCGGTCTGCAGTAATGGAAGGCTTGAACATAGTCAGATGTTTTGGCTGTTCTTTCTATTCTCAACAAGGTTTGTTTGTCTTACATTCAAACAAAACATAATACTCTTACCCCATACATTTGGAAATGCATAGATTTTAAACTTTTAAAGGTCACCTATTATGGAAAATCCACTTTTTCATGTCTTTTACACATCAACATGCGTCCCCTCTGTGTAAAGAGATTCTGAAAGTTTCCGGAAAAAAGATTCTCTCTCTTTTTGTCCTGATCCATTTATATAAAAACCTGTCTGAAAATCAGCTGATCAGATTTTGCCCACTTTATGATGTCATAACAATTGTTTGGCTTGTGTAACCATTAGCCAATAACTAACCAAGATAACACCCCCCACCTTATCTCCTGAATCTCCTCCTATGCCCCTTTCACACCAACGCGGTTCCCGTTCTAGCTCCGTGCTAGAGCTTTTCTGGTTCTTTTCAGCCTCCTTTTGTTCCGACCGCCCAGAGCCCGACTGGTGCTGCCGCGGCTGCGTCATGACGTCACTGTTTACGTCGCTGATTTTCTCCCCAACCGCGTTGGGTCGATGATCGTGTTGCTTTTAATCATACGAAGCCAGATACAATTAAATAACTACTTCTAAACCCTCATACTTTTTTCCAGAGTGCCGTGGTTAATTGTTTATTAATGTGTTTCAGCTACGTCGCGCCCAGTCA